TCAAGGACATCTAATCACCTCTCCACAAAAGATTGCCCCAGGCACAGCCAGGCCATCAAATGCTAATCAAGGTGGCCAATTGAAACATTCACACCTAGCTCCAACACACAAGAGTTCTTTGTCCCACCCTGATCATTCCACAGATATATAAATCCATTTTCCAACAGACCTCTCTACCTCTGAGGATGCTTGCCATAGATGCAGGTGAAACATCAGGAGAGAATGCCTCTAGAGCATGGTCATATAGCCCGAAAAAACCTACAACAACTTTATTTTACTCCCAATTTAGCCCAACAAAGATACGGAAATGCCATAATTTTGTGTCCCCCCCCACCCCTACAGCTCAGTGGGATGAACACATTCACAGCAAATGGGCGACATCATTCCCATTTCCCCTATAGTGTGGCCATTGGGTCAAAATATGAGGCACAGCTCAAGAACAGAAAGGGGTTGACGAGAAAGAAAAGAGAGGCCATGATGCCTTAAAGATGCTTTGATCCACAGTGTCTTTGGGGAGAAAACAGAGCAGAACACACAGCCCATAAGACTCAATGGATCCCATTTCAGGAAGTCATCTGAAGAAGAATTTAGGGAATTAGTTTAGTGCAAATCCTAACAAGTGCCACCTGCGACCTTTCAGTCAACGAGCTCAGCAGCTCAGTGGTTTAACCCACTGCGCCACCGGGGGCTCCAATAATAATAATAATAATAATAATAATAATAATAATAATAATAATAAGGTAAAGGTTGTCCCCTGACATTAAGTCCAGTCATGTCTGACTCTGGGGTGTGGTGCTCATCTCCATTTCTAAGCCAGCGTTGTCCGTAGACATCTCCAAGGTCATGTGGTCGGCAGGACTGCATGGAGCGCCATTACCTTCCCACTGGAGCGGTACCTATTGATCTACTCACATTTGCATGTTTTCGAACTGCTAGGTTGGCAGAATAATAATAATAATAATAATAATAATAATAATAATAATAATAATAATTCTGACAGCGGAAGCTCACGCCGCTCCCCGGAATTGAACCTGCGACCCTTTGGTCAACAAGCTCAGCAGCTCAGTGGTTTAACTCACTGTGCCACCGGGGGCTCCAATAATAATAATAATAATAATAATAATAATAATAATAATAATAATAATAATCTTTATTTATACCCCACCACCGTCTCCCCCAACAGGGACTTGGAGCAGCTTACATGGGGCCAAGCCCAAACAACAAATTACAATACAAAAATACAAACTGTAATAAAATATACAATATAACAATGAAGTCAAAACATCACTTGTTCTCTGTTATTTTCATTGTTTGTTGCTTTTGGGGGAGCGGAGGACAGAATCCTTTTTTAAAAATTTATTTTATTTATTTATTATTTGGACTTATATGCCGCTACTCCCCTGGGGTTTGGAGCGGCTTACAAGAATGGCTAAAATCTAACAAAATTTAAAAGCAATTTAAAACAATTTAAAAACAGCAATATCAAACATTAAAAGCCTGTCGAAACAGGTATGTCTTACATGCCCTGCGGAAAGCTGATAAGTCCCGCAAAGCACAGACTTCAGGTGGCAGAGTGTTCCAGAGTGATGGTGCCACTGCTGTGAAGGCTCTGCGTCTGGTTGCTGTTAGACGCAAGGTCTTGACACTGGGCTTCCAATAGATCTTGGTCCTCAGAACGGAGGGATCTCTGGGGTTGGTAGGGGGTGAGGCGGTCCCTCAGGTACATCGGCCCCAGACCATGCAAGGCCTTAAAGGTGAGTACCATCACTTTGAAAGTGATCCGGTGCTCAATTGGTAACCAATGCAGCTGTAGTCAGATTGGTGTTATGTGGCATCTCATCGGAATTCCCGCAAGAAGCCGAGCAGCTGCATTTTGTACCAACTTGAGCTTCCGGATCACCGACAGAGGAAGGCCAATGTAGAGGGCGTTACAGTAGTCCATGAAAAAAAGAAAAAAATCCCTCCAAATACCCCAGGAAAATTCTTGTCCTCAGAAAAACAGAGAAAGTTTCATATACTATAGTTACTCATATACTATATATCATATACTATATTTACGTTTCATATACTATATTTACTCAAATCTAATGCACAGGTTTTTTTGGCTAAATTACATTGTCCAAATTGAGATATGCATTGGATTCGATAGTGTGGCAAGAGATCCTGGCTGGGGAAGGAAGACAAAGAGATGGTGATGGCTGCAAAATGGCTGGTGGAAGCCAGCAGTGGCCATGAAAATGCTGGCGGGAAGCTCCCCACCAGCCTTTTTGCTGCCACCGCTATTTTCTCACCAGTCTTAACAGAGGGGAGCCTTTTCCCGGTCATCACTGCCTCACATTACTTTCAACAGCATTTTTTTTTGTAATGCACACCTTCAAAATTGAGGTGTGCATTATACTCGAGAAAATATGGTAATTGGAAAAATGAATCTCATACGACTCCAAAATATTATTGCAGGAAGCATCTTTTCCTGAACTATGTTACCTCTAAGTTCTGATCTAAAAGGTCCAATGGGATCATGTCACGGAGGCATCTGGAGGAAGCAAAGGAGTTTCACGACGTATTATGGTGTTGTGCTTGCTAGTGAACTCACAATTACCAAAGAAAAGCTACAGATAAATGCATCTAGTCGTGGAACCTGAGTCCTATATCCTTTCTCAAGCAAGGGGATTAAGAAATAAGGGGCACTGGATGAAGAGACAGCCCTGACCTCTTGAGCCCATGAGCAAAGGAGCGGGGAAGGTGTCTCACCTGAATCGCTGAGTCTGGTGGTGCAAGGGTCCAGTGTACCGCCGGGCTGTGGTTTGGTACAGATGTGTGAGCAGCGCTTGCCCTGTCTTCTGGCTGGGGTTGTTGGCAAACTTGACTGTGATGGGCTCACTGGCACCCAGGGGTTTCTGCCCATTCAGACCTTTGATGGCCTCCTCGGCTTCTATCCTCTTGTCAAAACGAATGAAGCCCACTCCTCTGGAAACACCTGTATAGAGAGGAAGAAAAATTACATAGAAATAGACAAATGATGGATAAATATCACTTAAATTGTATTGTAGGTTACTATGCTTTTCGGGGTGGGGGGCGTGGGATGGACAAATGTACCTACGAACATTATACCCAGCCCCCAGTTCCTCCCAACTCCAAGAACTGCCCTCCTTCTAGAATAGATCATCCTTCCTAGAAGCTTCCAGGAAGTTCATCTAGGCCCCAGAGACTTCTAAGAACACAAGTGTTGCACCTGAACCCACTGTAGTTATCCTCTCTATATCACACATTCTTCCAAAACTGGAAAAGTTAATTTTTGGAATTTCAACTCCCGGAATACCCTGGCTGGGGTTCTGGAAGTTGTAGCTTTTCAAAAGTCCAGATTTGTTTCAATACCTTATGGTCATGTTAATGTCTAATGCTCAATAATTATGATTTCTGGTTGAAGTGCATTTCCATTTTTTTTTTGTCGTGTCAGGAGTGATTTGAAAAACTGCAAGTCGCTTCTGGTGTGAGAGAATTGGCCGTCTGCAAGGACATTGCCCAGGGGACACCCAGACGTTTTGATGTTTTATCATTCTTGTAAGAGGTTTCTCTGATGTCCCCACATGAGAAGCTGGAGCTGATAGAGGGAGCTCATCCACGCTCTCCTCGGATTCGAACCTGCGACCTGTCAGTCTTCAGTCCTGCCGGCACAGGGGTTTAACCCACTGCGCCACCGGGGGCTCCTTATGGAGATGACACTGCCGATCTCTGTGTTGCCGCACGCTGGGCCTGTACATAAGACTGTAGACAGGACACAAATTCTGTGTGCCCAACGGGACGCCGGGGCTGCCTCAGATTAAAGGCCTTTGGATTTCCTTAAAACAGTCTTTAGATTGCTTAAAGGTTCAACAAAGTTCTTTATTATTGAAATCAAACAGGTACTTTAAGGCTTTCTTCATAGTCTATTGGCTCTCTCTCTCTCAATCTTGTCCACGGGGAACAGGCACTATCTTTATAAACTGTATTTGAACTAATGGGGAAATCCTTAACTTCTAATCTGGGCACTCTGTCTTTGCCTCTGTTGGCGTGGAGCCCCTGCACCCGCTACCAACTGCTTCTGGCTTCCGCGAATGACCCTTACCAAGCAGAGCTTTGCAGACTTCCAGAGGAAAAAGGAGTTCAGGTTTCAGTGATGGCTGGCTAAAGTGCTGTGGGACCGGATTCCCTCAGCAAAGGAGCTGTAAAGCTGTAAAATCCTCGGCCAAGCTACGGGGCCCTTTCTCCCCAGCCAAGCTGTAAGGCTGTATATCTCCCGGCCAAGCCCTAGAAGACGAAGCTTTCTACAGGAACTCCTGGTTTTATGTCCTGCATGAAAGGCTTCTCTGTGTGGACTGGCCCAAAATGACTCCTATTCCCTAACCTAACGGTAATTGACAGATGGCTTGCCCTATGATTGCAGCCAAAAGAAGCCACCTATCTGCAGAGCCCCTGAAACTCAGGACTACAACAAACATTCAATGCAAAGCAAACAAAATTGGAGCTCCTGGTACAGCTGTACCAGTATCTCAATACTGTTAATCACTGGACACGCAGGTTATTTGTTGAAAAAGGGCACGCCAACATTCAGGATGTCCCACGAAGTGGCAGACCACACAGCACAAACAACTGACAATGTGGAGCAAGTGAATTACATGATGTACTTCTTTTACATGATGAGGCCTAGAATATGTAAAAGTAGGGCATAGTATTTCTGTATGTGTGTATATCTGCTTTCAAGTTGCCTGTTGATGTATGGTGACCCCATAAATTTCATAGTCAAAGAATACATAGTTGTGGTTGATCTAGATGGCCATCCGTCAGGGGTGCTTTGAATGCAATATTCCTGCTTCTTGGCAGGGGGTTGGACTGGATGGCCCATGAGGTCTCTTCCAACACTATGATTCGATGAGCCAGTTCCTTCCTCTGAAATATAGCCTACAGAACCTGGAATTTATTAGCTGTCTCCCATCCAAGTACGAACCAGGGCTAGCCCTGTTTAGTTTCCAAGTTCAGATAGGCTCTAGTGCCTTTAGGGCATTTACCTCCCAATATAGTATTTCTGATATTCACAAGAGGACCCAGCTGATGAAGTTCTTTATTTGTTTACAAGAATAAGAATGGGTTTATGCATAACTAGCCGTCCCCTACCACACGTTGCTGTGGCCCAGTCTGTGTATATGTGTTTTGTGTGTGTATATATATTTGTGTATGCATGTGTGTGTATGTGTGTGTGTGCGTGCGTGTATGTATATATATATGTGTGTGTGGGGTGGGGTGGGGTGTATATATGTGTGGGTGTATATATGTGTGTATATATTTGTGTATTTGTGTGTTTCAGTGATTCTCAACCTGGGGTCCCCAAGATGTTTTGGCCTTCAACTCCCAGAAATCCTAACAGCTGGTACTGGCTGGGATTTCTGGGAGTTGTAGGCCAAAAACATCTGGGGACCCCAGATTGAGAACCACTGCTTATATGTTTACATGCATATTGTGTATATGTGTGTGCTTGTCTATATACATATTTGTGTGTATATATGTGTGTATGTATGTGTATATGTATATTTGTGTGGTAATGTGTATGTGTGTGTGTATATTTATGTGTGTGTATACATGTATATTTGTGTATGTGCATATATATACGAATGTGTGTGTATATGTATATGAGTGTATGTGTATATGTATATATGGTGTATTTTTGAGTTTTTAAAGCCTGCTCTGCTGGGGTTTTGTGTGTGTGTGTGGTTTTTTTTTAGGGGTGATGGACACTCGTTGGATTGTTTTTTGGCTTTTTAAGTCCCTTCCGCTGTGTTTTTCAGAGTTTTTATGTGTGATGGTCACTTGTTGGCCTGACATTCTTATAGTGTCCAAATTTCATGTCAATTCGTCCAGTGGTTTTTGAGTTATGTTAATCCCACAAACGAACATTACATTTTTATTTATATAGAAGAGTCAGGATAGAGTTACATAGGCTCATGAGCCCATGCCTAAATGCATTCAACTTAGCACAACACTATTGGTAACAACAATTTTAAAAAATCTGTTTCTTGTTCAAAAATGTTTTTTTTCCTCTTTAATTGTACAGTACTTACTTTGAAAGTAGTTGTTATACTCCAGAAACATAGTTTTTGTGGCTGCCACAAACTATGTTGAATTGGTTGAGACTGGATGAAACATTCATTGAAAAACTATAGCAAAATGTGCTGCAGGATATCCCAACCAACTTTTTCCATCTTTTTATGATAGAACCAATTAGGAAATGACATTTATAACCGAGGAACAAAAATTGTGTTACATTACAAAACTAGCTTCACAGGCAATACTACTTACGATCAAAAATGCCTCCGCTGCTCCATTCCCACAACCTCTCTTTAGATTACCTTCAGATGATCCCGTGGGTTGAGTTAGGTTTTAATAACTACCTTGTACTGGTTTTTAGCTTAGATTGTAAAATGTGTTGAAGTTTGAAGTATATAACCCTTTGGGTTTGATGTGGATGTATGGATGTATGGGTCCCCCTGTTATGATCTGGTCATCGACCGTAATAAAGTTTATTACTACTGCCTCCGCTGTTATTTATTCTGCTCCCTGAAATCCCTATGGGCAGTGCAACGTTTTCCTTCTTCTTCTATTCCCTGTTTTAGGTCCCTTTGGCATTGCTTCCCTACCAGAGGTACTGGTAGAGGGCCAAAGTCCTGCTGTCGCTATTATTACCTGTGACCTGGTCGACAAGGATGCGGGAAGTGATGATCCTCCCATACTGTGAGAAGAGCTGTTCCATCTCTTTCTGGCTCATGGTCTTGGGCAGGCCACTCACGTAGAGATTTGCATCGCGGATAGAAGCTGAGCTGGGCCGTGCGTAGGACACCTAGGTAGGGTGGAGGCACAGTTAGAAGCGTCCCCGAGAAGCGCAAGGACCAGCCATTTTGTGTCAGCTTCCCACATTGACCACACAATCCCTTTACTCTAACGATCACTTGTAGGAGCAGACCAGTCTTCCTGCATTATTCCCTCCCTTACCCTCATTCCCTTCCTCTGTAGTCTTCTGCTGTGCCAAGGTGTACAAATTGGGGCAGGAGTTGTTATTTTTGGTACTTATTTCAAACAGTGTCATGCATATTACTAATGCTACTGTAACAAAAAAAAAGATAGTAATAACATTGGGCTGTTGTAGGTTTTTTTCGGGCTATATGGCCATGTTCTAGAGGCATTCTCTCCTAACGTTTTGCCTGCATCTATGGCAAGCATCCTCAAAGGTAGTGAGGTCTGTTGAAAGTAGGAAAACAGGCTTTGTCCCACCCTAATCATTCCACAGATATATAAACCCCATTTTCCTAGTTCCAAGAGACTTCACTACCTCTGAGGATGCTTGCCATAGATGCAGGCAAAACATCAGGAGAGAATGCCTCTAGAACATGGCCATATAGCCCCCAAAAAACCTACAACAGCCCAGTAATTCCGGCCATGAAAGCCTTCGACAGTAATAACATTTTCCAGATTTTCCCCAACAAACTTGGTGTCCTTCCATAATCTATATTGATCTATATGTGACTTATTCTGTTCTGAAGGTTCATAGTGGGTAAACATAATGAGGCAAAAGAAAGGAAAATCTCTGCAGATTCTGAACTCATATATGGGATTTTGGCCTGCGTCAATAGGAGTCTAGTGTCTAAATCTAGGGAAGTAATGCTACCCCTCTATTCTGCTTTGGTTAGACCATACCTGGAATATTGTGTCCAATTCTGGGCACTACAATTGAAGAGAGATATTGATAAGCTGGAAAGTGTCCGGGGGGGGGGGCGACTAAAATGATCAAGGGTCTGGAGAACAAGCCCTATGAGGAGCGGCTTAAGGAGCTGGGCATGTTTAGCCTGAAGAAGAGAAGGCTGAGAGGAGACATGATAGCGATGTATAAATATGCAAGAGGAAGTCACAGGGAGGAGGGAGCAAGCTTGTTTTCCGCTTCCTTGGAGACTAGGACGCGGAACAATGGCTTCAAACTACAGGAAAGGAGATTCCACCTGAACATTAGGAAGAACTTCCTGACTGTGAGAGCTGTTCACCAGCGGAACTCTCTGCCCTTGAGTGTGGTAAAGGCTACTTCTTAAGCAGAGGCTGGATGGACATCTGTCAGGGGTGATTTGAATGCAATATTCCTGCTTCTTGGCAGAATGGGGTTGGACTGGATGACCCATGAGGTCCCTTCCAACTTTATGATTCTATGATTCTATTCTATGATTCTATATTCAAATCTGCCTTCCCTTCTTGCACTCATTTTATGACCAACTTCTGAGCCCACTCTCCTCACCTTGATTGTTTTCGTCTGTAGTTTGAGGCCATTCAATGTGTTGATTGCTTTGTCAGCGTCGTTGGAGTCAACATAATTGACAAAGCCGTAGCCTAAACTTTGCCCTGGTGGGAAAGATGGAAAAGAGGTTACATTGAAAGAGTCATCAAGCTATAAAGAGAGGAGAAAAAATAAATGTTAAAAGAAAATTATTTTACCTCTAAGAAAAATATGGAGAAAATAATACAAAAGTAATATTTTAATATAAAAAACGTGGCACTGTAAAGAAACACAACATCTAACAGAAACATTCAGCATAAATATTCAATACAAATCTTCCATATGTGAAATTTCCATTTATTCAAAGAGAAAAAAATATTCTGAGGTGAGTCAGCATTCAAATAAATTTAAATACATACATGCATACTCACATACACAGCATATACACACAACCACACACATATACAATTATGTTCAGAAGCATCCCTTTTCCTGAGCTTTTGTTGTTGTTCATTTGTTCAGTCGTTTCTGACTCTTTGTGACCTCATGGACCAGCCCATGCCAGAACTCCTGTTGGCCGTCAACACCCCCAGCTCCTTCAAGGACAATCCAGTCATTTCAAGGATCCCATCCATCCATCTTGCCCTTAGTCGGCCCCTCTTTCTCATTCCTTCCATTTTCTCCAGCATCATTGTCTTTCCTTTCCTTTCTTCTCATGATGTGGCCAAAGTACTTCATCTTGGCCTCTACTATCCTTCCCTCCAATGAGCAGTCGGGCTTTATTTCCTGAACTATGGACTGGTTGGATCTTCTCGCTGTCCAAGGCACTCTCAGAACTTTCCTCCAACACCACAGTTCAAAATCATCTATCTTCCTTCGCTCAGCCTTCCCTATGGTCCAGCTCTCACATCTGTAGGTGACTATGGGGAACACCATTGCTTTATGTGGATCTTTGTTGCCAGTGTGATGTCTCTACTCTTCACTATTTTTTCCTGAGCTATCGGGGCCAAATCTGAAGCAAGATGGACCAGACACTTGTGATTGGACAAAACCTGCTTAACCAAGTAATATGGCAACCCAGAGACAGGAAAGGGGAGGAATAAAAGCATTGTGGGATTGGGGGGGGGGGTATGTAATTATTGCTATCCTTCCTACCAGGTTTCACATCCTGTGCAGTCTTATGAATACATGATATGTGGGGCGTTTTCAAGCCTCTAGGGACATATGGAAGTTTTGATCATCTTTCCTCCAGTGTCCTGCACTGCTGCTTCCACAAGTTGTGCAACAGGAAGGCTTGCAACTTAGGAAGACACCTTTGCTCCCTGTCTTGCTCCAAGCAATGCAGTAGGTCCAAGTGCATGTGTCCAGAGCCTCAGAGATTTGGAAGGGATCATCTCAATTAATCCTGATCTCCCAACTTTTCACCTTAAGAACGGACAAGCATTCTGAGCTCTGAGGTTCACCTGGGAAGGAATCCCACTGGAGCATTGCAGTGCACCCAAATACCTGGGAGTCACTCTGGACCGTGCTCTGACCTACAAGAAGCACTGCCTGAATATCAAGCAAAAAGTGGGTGCTAGAAACAATATCATACAAAAGCTGACTGGCACAACCTGGGGATCACAACCAGAGACAGTGAAGACATCTGCCCTTGTGCTTTGCTACTCTGCTGCTGAGTATGCATGCCCAGTGTGGAACACATCTCACCATGCTAAAACAGTGGATGTGGCTCTTAATGAGACATGCCGCATTATCACGGGGTGTCTGCGCCCTACACCACTGGAGAAATTACACTGTTTAGCTGGTATTGCACCAACTGACATACGCCGGGAAGTAGCAACCAATAGTGAAAGGACCAAGGCAGTGACATCTCCGGCCCTCCCCCTGTTTGGGTATCAGCCAGCATGTCAACGAATTAAATCAAGAAATAGTTTTATAAGATCTACAGAGAAACTTACTGGAACACCTCAGCCACCAGTTGCTTGAAAGCCTGGAATCATTTGTTTAACTTTCTGAAGACAAGAGAAGTTTCTGTTTGATTGTTCATTAATAAAGGACTTTGTTATACTTCATAAGCCATCTAAAGACTATTTGTGGTGGAAAATCTCTGAGAACTTCTCTTTGGGCCCCCTGGCTTCCCGCTGGGCAAAGTCACACGTCCTATTTAAAGACAATTATTTACAGGCCCAGCGCGCAACAGAACACTTCTCTTTCACCCCTGGATTTTGGGGCATTTGTGTCACACAAGGACAACATGCCCGTACAAATCAGAGAGCCTTGGTTCTAGCTGGGCATGGGCTGGAGGCTTTTTCAGAAAAATCAAATTTTCGCTTCCTTCTGCACTTGCTCACCCTGGAGAAACATGAACACTTCCTAAAACTTTGCAAGGGATCCAAAGAGTTACAATTTCTACTGAGAGCTGCAAAAATAGAGCTGCAAGGGATTGAGAGGAGCTAGTTGAGGGACGCCAGGTCCTCAAGTCGCTCCTGACACGACAAAAAAACCCTGCCTCAAACAGACAAGAGTTCTTTCTCCCTCCCTGGCCATTCCACGGATATATAAACTCCACTTGCCTATAGTTTCCAACAGATCCCTCAACCTCTGAGGATGCCTGCCATAGATGTGGGCGAAATGTCAGGAGAGAATGCTTCTGGTACATACAGCCTGGAAAATTCACAGCAACTGAGTGATGAAAGACTTTGACAACACATATTTGCACAATTTGTTAATTGAGTTGCAGTCATTTCCACTTAAATGGGTAAAAAATTAAATCTGTTAACAGTGATATTTGTGACAAAGCACGTGGAGAGGCTACAGAGAAAACTGCACAAGAATCAACTGTTGTACATAAGTGTAGAGGAAAAAAATCCAAAGCTTGTTTATACGGTAAAACAAATATTTTGTATGAAACACTTATAAGGAGTTGGTTTAATCTCCAGTTTGCCTGTAAAAATGAATTACCGGGTCACAAAAGGATACATGTCTAAAATATGTGTTACTGACATGAAAGGTTTGGAAAACTCTGCATTTAAATATCTCTCTAAATGTTTTCCACTACACTGCATAAATCAGGACTCAATGGGAACCATAGCAAAATAGTTATATGCTATGCAAGGTCCCCAGGTGGTTTAGCCTGTGCTTGTTTACTTGAAATGCAGGTATGGTGAGAGATGTGTTTGGTGGGAGCTAAAACAGGACAGCAAAGTTACTCATTATTTTCTCCTCCTGCCACATAGCATTACAGAATGGTGTGGCAGGAGGTCGAGATTTAAAGTCAGAGCCAAATTTACAAACAAGGTAAATAAATACGCTATAGGTCTCTGATTATGACAAGACTGTAAACATTTAAAACAAGAGATGCTAAATATCAAGATTTAGAATAGTGTATGCATCATGAAGAGAGAGGGGGCCAGGGGGCAGTTCCATCTTGTCTCCTGCATATGTCATCAGTTGGGGACCCCTCTCCCCTGCACCAACTGCTGCTCTGGGCAAAAGTGAAGAGAGAG